TGTCCGGCGAACCTTGCCTTGAAACCTCGCCAGTTCGTACTGTTGCCATCTCCGCCACAGAAGTAAACACCGACATTCTCCAATGGATTTCTCCTGCGCCTCATCAAGAGGATGGCGCTGTATGAATCGCCACAATCGCCGCTGAGAGCCAGCGTTTCTGTATACCGCCATCCTCCCTGAAACGTACATTCAAAGTTCGTCGGAGTGTGTCAGTATGTATACGTGGTGATTTCTGCTCCAAGTATGTATCTAGTCACTTCTGGACTCAATTATTTAATCGCTTCGCTCATTCCGCCGGCCCATATTGTCGCACCGTTGTGGGCTAGCCGAGTTTGGGGGGCCGTTTTGGGGCCTCTTGGGGCCTCTTTTGGGCCTCTTGGGCGCCTCTTGGGGCGTCTTGGGGGCCTCTTGGGGGCCTCTTGGGGCCTTTTTGGGGCCTCCTGGGCGCCTTCTGGGGCGGAGGGCTCGATTTTTCAGTTCTCGGTTCCCCTCTTGAGCCCCTCTTGGGCCCGTCTTGGGGCCTCTTGGTCCGTCTTGGGCGGCACTTGGGCCGTCTTGGGGGCCCTCCTGGGCCGTTCCGGGGCCGTCTTGGGAGCCTCGTGGGCCGTCTTGGAGCGGTCTTGGGGGCCTCTTGGGCCGTCTTGGAGCGTCCGGAAGCCGAAAAAGCCAGAACACAAAAAACATCGAAAAAACCAATGAAAATCAACGATTTTGGCCTCTTGGGGCTCTCTTCGGAGGCCTCTTGGAAGGCTCTTGGGGCGTCTTGGAGGCCTCTTGGGCTGTCTTGGGGGCCTTTTGGGCCGTCTTGGGGTCATCTTCGGCGTCTTCGAGCGCTCTTTGGGCGTCTCGGGGGCCTCTTGGGCAGTCTTGGGGGCCTCTTGGGGCACTCTGAGCGCGCTCTGGGGAGCCTGAGAGGCCGCACCCAGAAGGAAAACCATCTCTGAGTAGACTTGGTCGGGCGGTGGTCGGGCGGCGGTCGGGCGGCGGTCGGGCGGCGGTCGGGCGTTGGTCGGGGTACTTTTCGCCGGGGGACCCCCAGGGGCCGCCCCGCGCGCGCGAACTAGAAATACTGTTAATACTGTTAACCAGTTACCGGAGATCTTAGCACGGGCGCCCTGGCCCGTTGGGCCGGCGAATTTGTTTACGCGTGGCACATAATCCCACCCCGTCGGGGCGCGCCTTCATGGATGCCGCCCCCCTGGCGGGGCTGGAGGCCCTCGCGCCCGCACTGTCCCAGCTGCTGGCCCTGCGGCAGGTCCTCGCGCTGGCCGGGGCGAGCCGGGAGTGGCGCTCGGCCTTCGCGTGCGACGCGGTGTGGCTGGCCCTGCTCGCCGCGCGCTGGGGCGAGGGCGCGAGGGAGCGCGCGCGGGGACCTGACGAGTCTGAAGCACGCCCCCTGCGATCCGATAGGCGTTGCCGCTCTTTTCGGGCCGGGCGTGGTCGCCTCTTGTCGAGCCCCGCGGGGGCCCTCGCGGAGCGATCCGGCTCGAACGACTGACGCGGGAGGAATGGGGCCCACGTGCTCCGAGCGTGAGCTTGTAAGGTGTCACATGTTTTTCGCTGCGTCGGAACTCGGGGCCCTCATCCCTGGTTTCGGCATCGCCTCACCTCGGTGCCGGCTGCAAGGGCTCCCTCCGTTGCGGAGGGCGCATCCCTGAGACCGTCGGCGCCTCTGGCTTTGTCCCTTCTCATGGGGAGGGTTATGATGTTCCAACCTACTCTAGCCTTGACCACCAGATAGAATTTCGAGCACCAGAAACAAATACCGAAACTCGAGGGTTTTCACGTGTCGGGCGCTGGGAGATACTCGCCCGACACTGTTTCGACACTCTTTCGACACCCTGTCGACACTTGTCCGGTCGCTCGAAACTATTTCTGGGATGTGGTCCGTGAGTAGGAGGGGAACAGCATAATTCCAGGGTTTCCTCCGTTTCGGAGGGCGCATCCCTGAGACCGTCGGCGCCTCTGGCTCTGTCCCTTCTCAGTGGGGAGGGGTCCGTTCGAGTCTGGTCAGGATCGCGGTGCTCGTTGCGGGGCACCTTCGGGGCCCTGCAGCGGGCGGGCCAGTGGGAGGCGCGCCTGGCGGCTGGAGCTCGGGGGCTGCCAGAGGTGTCGTTGGCCAATGGCGTCCCCAGGCCTTTTCGCTCCATGTTTCAAAGGAGGGCAGGGGCACCGATACCGATGATTACCCTTCCCTCGTTTTCCCCTTTGCTGAGCCTCCTGGGTGGCCCTCATTGCCACCGCAGGATTCGCCTCGACATTCTGGTCAGAACGCACCCCGGGAGGGGTCCGAGGAGTGGCCGTATCGGTACTTGTTGGTTTCCCCCATGTTGGAGCCCCTTGTGGCCCTCTGGGCCACGTGAGGGGTGCTCTGGACGCCGTGGGGGCATCCTGGGGGCACCCTTGGCCAGGGACACTTCTGGCAGCACCCGTGGAGCGGGGTCGGGCTGGCGCTGCCAGGGGTGGGGGTCGCAGGAGTTCCCGGGCTGCCCGGGCGTGGAGGTGCTGCTCATTGGCGGCCACAGCGGCGGGGTCACGGCCGCCTCGCTGGACGTGCGCGCGGGGGCCCGCATGGCAACGTGCGGTTCGGAGGGCGTGGTTCAGGTGTGGTGCCTGCGCAGCGGTGTGGCAAGGGCTCGCTACGGCGTGAAGAGCTGCGCGACGCACGTGTCGCTCTGCGACGACTGGATGGCCGTCGGCACCGCGGATCAGCGGGTGCACTTTCTGGTGCTGTGCGAAGGCGGCGCTGTCATACGAAAGTGCCTCGCCTCGCGTTCTGTTCAGAGCTGCATCCGGTGCGTGGAGGTGATGCCGCCTTCGGGCGACGACGGTGTGGACTCCGCCTCCGTGCTGATCGGCAAGGGAGACGGCGCGCTCGAGGTCCTCGGTATGGAGTCGGGCCAGGCTCTTCGCAGGTGTGAGGTCCTCGAGGCGGGGCTGCTGGCCATGCGGACGCTGCGTCCCGGGGGCGCGGCTGCGACCGTCGCGGTCACCCTGTCGAGGTCGCTGGTGGTGGAGCAGTGGGCCTTGCCCGAACTGTGCTGCGTCAGGCGCTGCGCCTGCCCGGAGCAGGTATCCCGGGCCCCACGCGACGCCCAGGCGCCCACCTGCCACCTCGCCAGCCTCAGTGTCCACAGCGGGGCCGTGGTGCTGGCGTTCGGGGAGGCGGAGCTGCACTGGCAGCCGCTGGCCGGCGGCGAGGGGTGGCGCCCGCCCGCGGACATGCGGCACGAGGCGGAGCCTGGCGGCGAGGGGGCGGAGTGGCGCAGCGTCCGCGTGGAGGCCGACGGGCCCATCCGGCTCCTCGGCGGCGACGCGCAGGTGACTCTCTACCTCGACGCGGGCAGGGGCGGCCTGGCCGGCGCGCCGCACACGAGCGTCCGGGCCGTGCACACCGCCACGGGGCTGGCGCTCGGCGAGCGGAGGAGCTGCCAGCCGGGCGGCGGCCGGGTCACCATGGCGGAGGCGTGCGCGGGCACGCTGCTGCTGTCCAGCGGGGACGGGGCGCAGCTGACGCGCCCGCGGCAGGCCCCAGCCAGCCCGGGCGGGGGCGGCTGCACGGCGGAGGGGGAGGAGGAGGACGTCCCGAGGAGGGCCGGCGGCGCGCAGCAGCAGGGCTTCGGCGAGGGGGGGGGCGGCCTCTTTCGAGGAGGCGACGCGGGGGGGCTTCTCAGCAGGCTCTGCTGCCTATGGGGGGCGGGGCGTCCTCAGATCGGGGCACGGGGGGCAGGACAAGGGTAAGTCTGTTGCAGGGCGCTCCCGAGCGCTCTCGCAGCGTTCCGGAACGCTCCGAGAAGGCCGCGACGCCCGAGGCATCCTCCAGAGCCGCCAGATCTCAGACATTCTCGATCGACCCTCGTCCGCGGACGCCCTGGCTAGAGAGTGGGAGGCGAGCCTGGCCAAGAACTTTCTCGAGCACGAGGAAGACTTTGGGCGTTTTTTCACTCGGGCTCCAACAGCGACGCCTGAGGTCAACACAGTCGCGCCTGATTCTGGGCCTTGCACTGGCTCGATCGGACTGCCTACCTGCCTGCCTGGCTTCGTCTCGTGAGTATAAAGCTGGGCATGCCCCCCTTCTACAGGAGGAGTATTCCAGAAGGGTTAAAGCATGGAGGGACTAGTTGTTGCGGTTCTTTTTGCTGCTGATATCGCTGAGCTTGTTCGGCTATCTTCTTAGTTTTTCTTCCAAGCTCCGCCTGCAGGAGGACGTGCCCGCCCTGACATCAGAAGGCCCCCGGCGTCTGCCGAGGGCCCCCCCCCGGGCCTGCTCCGGGAGGCGTCGCCGCCCTCTCCCTGCCCCCCGGGCTGCCGCGCGCCGCCGCTGAGGAGGCGGAGGCGCGAGAGGAAGCCGAAGATGACCTCGCAGATCGGTGGTCCTACGTCAGACCCAGACGTCGGGCGTCTCGAAAAAATCGAGGCGGAGGTTTTTCGTCGTTTTCGGTCTCTCGGGGCCCTTTCTGGGCCTCGGGACTGTCAAAAACAATACGACTCGGGATGAAACACCGGTCCCGGGGAAAGGGTCGGGAGGTCGGGGGCCCGTGTCCCGAAGAAGTCGAGACATCGGATGTCTGGGGAGGGCGCGTGAGGGGGGGGGGGCGAGAAACCCGGAGATCCCATGGCGCCGCAATTGCTTCGCGAGCCCGGCTGATCCGCCCGGCCTCGGGCGCCGGGGCACCCTCCTATATAGGGATCGATCCGGCTCGGAGAATGTCGGGGCGGCAAAGAGAGTCGCCGACGTCGGAGGCCTCATGGGGCTGTGCAGTGTGGCCCGGCCTTCCCTGCCTTCCCCCCCCTCCTCCTCCTCCTCCTCCTCCTCCTCCTCCTCCTCCAGCCGTGCTGCCCCCTCGAGAGATTCAGGGGGTTGCGAACGCGAGAACTCAGCGCGGCACCGCGTTCGCGGGCCTTGTTGTTCGAGTCTTGCCAGCAGACACCCGCTGCTGGCCTTCAGCTCCCGCGGGAGGCCCCGCCAGCAGGCAGCAGCTGCTGGCAGCCCCTTCTGCTCCCGCGGGAGCGCTCCATGGCCAATGACGATGACGTCCTACTGGGTCCTCGTCGTCCTGAGTGGGCTTGTGGGCGGTGCGGAGCTGCTCACAACTGGGCCAGCCGTATTCGCTGCAGATGTGGCAACATGGCGCCCGCCCATATCCGCAGTCGTGCCCAAGAGGCAAACAAGAAGCAGCTCGCCGCCAAGCTCGAGTCGGGAAGTGGAGGTGGGCGTGGTAAAGGAAAAGGTCAAGGCAAAGATGAATCGGGCGGGCTCCTACGTGTACAGGCGCAACTGGATGAGTTGGTCAAAGCGCTTGGACGAGGAGAATTGCCTGATAAGTCTGACAAGCCTGAGGGTAAAGCTAAGCGAGCACCGTGGTACAAAGATCAAGTTACTCGTGATCGTGAAGCTGCTGAAGCTGCGCAACAGGCTGACCCTGGGTCCGACGATGCGAAGAGAGGTCGGTTGGTTGTGCAGGCGAATGAGTTGGAAGAATCGCTCAAAAAGGTCCCTTCAGGCGATGAGTTTGATGAGTTGCGATCCAGTATCAAGGCAAAGTTGGAAGTGCTACGTGGAAATATCAAAGAGTTGCGGAATCCAACCACGGCGCATAGGAGGGCCACCAATGAGTTGCAGCGTGCACGACAAGCGGTGGCCAGACAAGCTAAAGAGTTGGAAGAGAAAGAAAAGCAGTTTGAAGAGTTGCGTCTATCGATTGAGGAACGCAAGACGAAGCTCGAGACCAAGCGTGTTGAAGTGGCAGAGTTGGTTAATGAAGTTGCTCGTGCATCTGCTCTACTGGCTGCTGAATCTGGTGAGGCGAAGGTACCCTCAGCAGGCATCAAGATTGAGATCGACAACCTCGACCAGGTGTACTCCAAGTACGAGGGTGTCGAGGCCTTCTTCAAGAGCGCAGCGTGGGAGGAGATCCAGAAGAATATTCGTGTGGTTGGCCCTGCTGATGGCAGTGTTGGGGCTTCAGCTGCAAGCGCTTCTGGAGGTGCTGCGGATGCGAGCACACCTGATGCCGAGATGCCTGCAGCTCCCACTGGTGACACCGCCACCGACAAGCGCACCTACTCAGAGCTCGATGACAACAGTTTGCAGGAGCTCTGGGGCGCAGACAGCTTTGAAGAATTCCAGGCTAAGATCACCGAGCTGCAGGTCAAGAGGCAAAAGTGCAGCTCCTAGCCCCAATGATGCCTCGGCAGAGTCGGTTCCTGCAGACCCTTGCATGGACCGTCACAAGAAGCTAGGCAGGATGATACCACGTGTGACTGGTTTGCGATCAAAGAGTGTGGTTCCTGCAGCCCCCGCTATGCTGATGGCGCCGTCTCACATGTTGGAGTCATTCAATGCCAATGGTGGTAAACGGACACTGAAAAAGCGACTTCAGCGTTCTTGTGCTATGGTTGTCATGGTACAGGAGACGGGCTACCTGGAGAGCGAGCTCGAGTCGCTGCAGACGTGGATCAGTGGACGAGGATGGCAGATGTTGGCACTGCCTGCTCTTCCCTCCGCTGGAGTCCTACCGACAGCTGGAGTCGCCATCTTTGTTCGCAGTCAATGTGGAGTACGTGTTCCCCCTGGACTCCATGAACAAGTGGTCCAACATCGTGTGCTACATGTGGTACTGGACCTGCCAGGATGGCCACCGTTGCATGCCATCAACCTCTACCTAGTGCCGAGTATCGGCGCGATCACTCTGAATGCCAAGTATTTAGCTGCAGTTGGCAAGCGTTTCAGTGGGGTGGAGGGTCCTTGTTTAGTCGGGGGGGATTGGAACATGACACCTAGTGCTGTTGAAGCCTGCGGCTTCAGTGCTCTTGCCAGTGCTACCCTCGTCCCCCCATCGAACTACACGTGTAGAGGTGGGACGGGATCTTCTGTCATCGATTTTTTCGGGCTCAACGATCCGTGCATGCGAGCGTTTAAGGCAGTAAGCGTTGACAAGAAGTAGACAGTGCGTCCGCATCGACCAGTGATCTTGGAGCTTGCGAGTGACGGGCATGGTATCCAGCATCTGGTATACACCGCCGCACCCAAGCTCCCTGTCACGGCCCCCATTGGACCTCAGCCTGCTCCCCCTAGTTGGTCGTTCGTCGAGGGTCTCGTCGATCATTGTTCGGAGTTGGCTCATGATGAGCAGGCTGATCCTGGGGTAGTTTCTGGAGTTTTAAGTGCTGCCTGGGGCCATTTCGCCAAAAGAACTGCCAGGTACGTAGCTGAGTGCACGGGCACGGATGCTATGAACTTTGCAGGCTTCGGTAGAGATATAGCACCGAGGTGGGTTAGCGTTGACTACCCAGTCCCCAACATCTCGGAGAAGGTTCTGCTCGCTGAGGGGTGGTCTTGGTTGCGTAATGCTGTGCAGACCCTTCTCCAGATGTCGTCTCACGACGATGATGTCGAGCAGCAGGTCCTATATGCTAATGAGGTTGCCGCATTTGCTGCTGACGACTATCCAGGCTTTGGTCTCAGCGCTAGGCTAGACAACTCATGTAAGCATGCACGTGAGTTGTTTCATGACGGGCAACTCGATAAGGATGCTGTTCTAGAGTTTCTTGAGCAGATTACAGATGATGTAGAAGCTGCCCAGAGGACTGCTAATCGCGAAGCCGATGCAGATTGGAATGATTGGTGTGAAACTGCGTCCTTAGGGGGAGCCAGGGGCCTACATAGGATCACCAAGGTGCGTAGTGTGTGTCCCCCCACGGTCGTCCACGATCCTGTAGGCCCCACGGCTGACCCTCATAGCGTTGTGCAGCATGAAGCTCGTATGTATAAGGCGCTCTGGAAAGCTGGAGCGATTCCCCCTCAGGCATGGATACCTGATAGAGAGTCTTTTCCAGTTGCGAGCGTTGAGGACATACGTAAAGTGATTCGGTCTTTTCCTGAGAGTACAGCAAGAGCTCTCGATCAGCTGCACCCTCGGCACTTTCAGCTGCTAGATGATCGTGGCCTCATGGTGCTTGCAAAACTTTGGCAGTGCTGCGAAGCGATAGGTCTCCTGCCCCGACAATTGCTCTGGGTTTTAATGCCAATGCTGCCGAAACCGACAAGCGGTTATAGGCTAATCGTACTGTACTCTGGCATGTATCGCATTTGGCAAAGGCTCCGCCGCCCCATGCTCAAGGATGTTGCGGGTGCTTTGGACCGCGGGTACTGGGGGGCTACTCGGGGGAGGAGTGATGTGGATTGTGCTTGGGTGTTAGCGGCCAGGAGCGAAGCCGATGTGGTCAGCCATCGTTTTTCGGTTCTTGTTGTCGCTGACTACAGCAAATATTATGAGACGATTGATCTCATTCAGTTGCGTGATAAATGCATAGCGTTTCGAGTGCCGTCTCCTGTGCTAAAGTTAGTTTTTAATGTTTGGCAAGCCCCAGGAATATTGAGGCTTCGTCAGCATCACTCTCTTGATTGCATGCATGCACAGTTTGGTCTTCCAGCAGGTGATTGCTTCAATGACTTGTGCATAAAAATACACGCGGTTCGTGAATTCGACAGATTTGTTTCTCGTCAGCCATCGCTCGTAAGTTTCATGTCGTACATTGATGATTCTGCCATTCAGATCTCTGCTGCTGACAGGCAGCGAGCTCTGGATCTAGCGGTGGCGGCGGGAAAAGATTTCCAGATTGCCAGTCGTAACATTGGTGCAACACTGAATGATAAGATTGCCGTAGTTGCGTCATCGGAGGACTTGGCTAAAGATGTAGCAGCAAGCCTCCAGATGCAATGCAAAGTTGTTAGAAAGGCAGTCACTTATCTCGGAGTCGATTCAGCCGCTGGTTTGCGACGTGCTGCGAAAGGCATGAGACCCAAACTTAGGAGTAGGTTGAAGGCTATGCAAAAGCGTGCCAAAAAGATCAGTAAGTTTAGCAAGTTTATTAGACGCAAGCCAAAACAAGTCCTCCAGGGGGTCCTGCGTACTGGCCTGGCTCCTGCGTCGTCGTATGGTTCTGAGGTCTTGGGGTTTTCGGATGCTGAATTGGCGTCAATACGCAGAACCCAGGCGAGGCGACAGGCGCCCATGCACGGTGGCACCTCAGCGAGTGCTAAATTGGTCCTCTTTGGAGAATGGGACGTCCGTGCTGCTTTGGGCCCCGTCTTGCAATGGAGTAGGATGGTTTGGACCTCCAAGGTAGCGCCCGAGAGAGCCCTTTTAAGTTTCCCTGCCCTCGTGTCGTTGTGGCAACAGGCTAATGCGAGCAGCGTCGGCGACTGGAAGAATAGTCGAGGCCCGCTCAGTAGAGTTGTCTTGTGTCTCAAGAGGGCAGGTTGGTCGGCTCCCGAGGCGTGTGCTTGGATTGATCACCATCAGAATCCCATCGATATCAGTTTAGTGTCACCTCGAATGCTGCAGGAGTTGCTTGAAGCAGGCCTCCAGAGGCAGGCTGAGCTGGCCTTGGGCCAAAAACTCGGTTTCCCTCCTGGTTTTCGGGCCACCCTGGACCTGGTCAGGGACAAGATGGTTCCCCGCGTGAAAAGTTTCACTCGACAGCAGCAGTTTTTGTTAAAGTGTGCAGCGTGTGATGCCAATTGGACCGAGAAGAGGGCCCAAGATGCGGGGTATCTTAGTTGTGGTCGTTGTGAGTGTGGGCAGGTTGATACCCCGCATCACCGCATCTACACATGCACCAGACCAGATGTGCTAGCTGCCCGTGAGATTGCATGCGAAGATATCCCCAATGAGTCGTTGCAGGTTGCCCTTCAGTCCGATGATTGTCTGCACACTCGTGGCATCTTTGTCTATGATGACTCCCAGCTTGTTCCTCCCTCCCTCAGCTCGGCCTGTGAGATTTTCGATGGCCAGGGTAACGAGCTCGACCGTCAGCCCGAGGAACTTGCTGCCCTCGTACCGCCAGGCCAGCCGCTTGAGCTCGCGGCCGACGGCTCGGCCACCAAGCAGATGCTTAGGCCGCTCCGACGCGCGGCTTGGTCGATTGCTTTGCTCTCGCCGAATACGACAGACATGGAGGCTGTGCTACGAGGCGTTGTTCCAGGCACCCTCCCCCAGAGCCCAGCTGCTGCGGAGCATGTTGCTGCTGCTTTGTGTGGCCAGGTCGCTGATCGCCCGACTAGGCTCGGTCTCGATTGTCTTGGGGTGATCCAGCACATTCAGAGACCTGTGGCCAAACAGTTAGAGGCCCAGAATAAGTTTTCTGGCATCCGAAAATTCGCTTTTGAGCTTGATGGTTCCAAGTTTTTGGAGGCGTTTCATGTGAAAGCCCACCGCTCTGATGAAGAGTTGAACCAGCTTACAGGTGATGAATTTCGTTTCGGCCAGGCCAATAAGATTGTGGACAACCATGCGAAGTTGGCCCTGGCCTCCCATCCCACCCCCACCCCTGCCTTCTTGCATTCTGTTGAGGAGGCTGAGAGGAGAGCTGGGATTTTTGTGAAGCTTGCCAGTGCCTGCCTCCCGCTTTTTCGGAATGAGTTGAGGTGGAGACGTGCCCCGCAGAGTCAGCAGCGGTCACGAGCCAAGCGTAGTTGGCACGAATGGCGTCGGACTGAGCTTGGAATTCAGTGTGTTCACTGCCTGATAGTCAGCTCGTCTGGTGATCGCCCCGCTGATGGATGTCAGGGCACGCCCACGGCTATAGCTAAGTTGCTCGCGAATCCCATGGGCCATTCTCTCGTTGCTGTGTCGGGAACGGCTCTTCAGACTGCTTCTGGTGCTTCCTCGGGTCCTGTCTCGGGTTCTGGACGCACCGAAATTAAGGAGCAACAATTTCTATGTCTCAACTGTGGTGGCTGGACTCAGGGAAGGATGATCAAACTTGCTAAGACGTGTGCTGCACCCACGTTTAAGGGCCTCGAGGTTTTGAGCGCGTTTCGTCGGGGGCTAGGGCCGAACCCAAGGTTGAGGGAACGTTTGGATAAGGCCATCCCCGTTTCTCGACTTGATTGGACTCTCGCTAGCCCGAAAGAGGTGCAGTCTGTGTCGTCCGTCCCCAGAGGTTTTTCCTCCAGTGAAGAGGCCCCACAGTATGAGCAGAGAATGGCTGCCTTACTTGCTCGAGTCAAGGCCAAAGAAGCCAGTTCTCAATCGATGGCATAATTTTTTGTAACCTTGCCAGTCTTTGGTGTGTTCACCTTCCGACCTTTCCTAAGGCGCTGTCTAATCTAATCTAATCCTCCTCCTCCTCCTCCTCCCTCCTCGTCCTCCTCCTCCTCCTCCTCCTCCTCCTCCTCCTCCTCCTCCTCCCCTCCTTTCGGGGGCGGCAAAGAGGGGGGTGATGACTAGGGGGGGTGGATTTCATGGCGGGGGCCATGATATTTCCCCAGATTTCGTGGCGCCTCTTCTTGCTTCATTACGTCCCTGGCCCCCCCGCTGGGCTGCGCACGTGCCGCCGGTCATGATCTGCACCCCCCCTCCTTTTTGGACACCCCCCTCTTGACCGCTCCCGAGAATGACGCAGCCAGAGGGGGTCTGGGGCTCTGGTCGTGATTGTTTACCATGGTGCAGATTTCTCGCAGCGTCGGATCCCAGGGAGTGGGGCGTTCCCACAAAAGGAGCCTTGCCTTCGAGGATCGAAGCAGCTGCCATATCTCTTCCTCGGCGGATGGCGGCGGAAGGGCGGCGGAGGTACAACGAGGCCGCCTCCGTCAGCGGAAGACCAGCGGAAGGCGGCTTCCCTCCCCCCCCCCCACACCTCGTTTATCGCCCCCCCCCATTCGTTCGCACCCAACAAAGAAGATTGGGTCCTGGGGGATGGGGTCCTACAGCCCTCGAAATCACACGCAAGTTTTTCCCGCGACGTGGCGGCGCCGCAGGACCCCTAAATTTCAATGTTCGCGCCGGAACTGGCGACTGCAAGCACAATAATCAGACCCCGTGAGCCGCGCTCCGCGCGCAGATCAGCATCCAAAGCTTGCGCTTGGCTTCGAGGAGGGCTGTAACGGAGGTGCCCCAATCGATGTAGACCCACCCTTGGATAGGGGGCCACATGCGAACCCTACCCCTACCCCCCACGATTTCTGAGGGGGAGGGTGGGGTTCACTTCGCTCGGGAGCTCCCGAGCGAAGTGAACCCCACCCTCCCCCTCAGAAATCGTGGGGGGTGGGGGTAGGGTTCGCATGTGGCCCCCTATTGGACCCCTTCCCGCCCTCGGGGCCCCGTCCCTCGGGGCCCCCGTCCGTGGACCACCGAGCAGAAGGAGCACCTGCAGAAGTCCCGCCCGCAGTAGGCGCGCGCCCCGCCTGCCGGGGGTCCGCCTGCGAGACTTCCCGGGCAGCGCGGGGTGCAGGTGGGGGCCGGCCGGAAGCAGCCGGCGCCTGCCATCGGGGGTGGATAGACCTCCTGCCCTGACACGTCGTTCAAGGAATTGGCCGTTTTCGGGTTCGCGAGGGGGCGTCGCGGCCGTCCTTTTGCGGTTCCAGGTCCGTCGGTTTCGGTCCCAGGGCGTTGTCACTAAGGGGAGGTCTACTAAAGGGAGGTTTGTCCACCGCCGATACCAGCCCTCAGGGGAGGCCAGACGCACCCAAGAGCAGACGAGCATCGCCGTAGAGTTGGGTCGGGCATGGCCCTCTACAGAAGGAATTGTTCAACAACAAAAAGTCACAGGACAGTCTGGCGACGATGTTTGTGCTCTTTCGACTATGTCTGATTCTTGTTTGACAAGTTTTATTTTTCCTCCAAAATCCGCCTGTAGGAGTACATGCCCGACCTAACCGTCGAGGGGTCCTCAGGCCCGCTGCGGGACATCCGGGCGTCTAGGGGCCAGGTCTTGGCGCACGCCGGATCCGTGGCGCCTGCAACGCCTCACCGAGGGGTACGTTGCCCTGTGGGCACGCATGGGCAATTCAAGAGTGCTGGCGGCGAAGGCGAAGAGCACTCGGCGGCGGTGGCTCTACTCCTTGCGGAGTGCTCGGGTGAGGAAAAGATGATCCCATTGGCTCCACTTTACTATGCATCGTCGACTGCCCGTTCGTGGGAGGTGCGAGGGGGGGTTGGCGTCGCATGCCATGGCGCAGGAATCGGACGTTCTGGAGTTGTCGCTCCCATCCGAAGAGTGGTTCACTACACGAGTGGACCATGATTCATGATCTTCTCTACAGATTGCTCGCGCCTTCACTGCATCAGGGGAAGATGGTTTGCGAGTGTCATGGCGTCCTTGCATGTCCAGCTTGCACTTCCAGATGGGGAAGCAATCAGCGCATGTATGACTGGGCGACTTGCACGCCTCGGCATCGGAACTCGACCAGGATCGTCTCACCGTCCTGCTTGAGCGCGCTCGCCGCACTCTGCGCTCCCTGGTGGGCGGTAGGAAGGCACCCGTGAAACGCTTCGATTGACAGTCGCACTCCCCTCATTTCTTCTCCCTTCCTCCTCCGCCTCCTCTTCCCTCGTCGCCCTCAGTTTCCTGCATCCTATCGACCTCACTGGGGTGCGTTCCATCATCATCATCATCATCATCATCATCATCATCATCATCATCATCATCATCATCATCATCATCATCAGCATCAGCATCAGCATCAGCATCAGCATCAGCATCAGCATCAGCATCAGCATCATCACCAGCAGCATCTTCATCATCGTCATAATTATCAGCAGCATCACCACCATGATTGTCAACAGCATCACCGTCACCATCCGCATCATCAGCATCATCGTCATCATCATCATCACCATCATCATCACCATCATCATCACAATCATCAGCATCATCATCGTCATCATCACCATCATAATCACCGTCACCATCACCATCACCACCACCATCACAAACACCATCACCATCACCATCACCACGACTGCACCATCATCACCATCACCATCATCACGACCATCATCGTCATCTTCATCGTCATCGTCATCGTCCTCGCCAGTACCTTCGCCCCAATCCGCATTCACCGCCCCTCCTCCGTGACCGCGATACATGCGCTGCTCGCCCGGGGTGAGACTGGCTTTCTCTGCAGGGTCTTACTGCCACCGAGGCCGTCGGCAGGAGGAGAGACCCCACGGCCCCACGGGGGGGCCGCCCCTGCTCGATGCCCCGGCCTCAGAGGAGCCAAATCTCTCCTCGGATGCTTGCTCTCAGCGCCGTGCTGGATTGCCGCCCCTGTCCTCGTCCTCGTCCGCCCCGTCCTCCCTCCTTCCCTTTCCCCCTCATTTCCCCTCATCCTCTTTCTCTTTCCCTCCTTCCTACCCACCCCCCGCCCTCCTTTTTTGTTCATCGCCCCTCCTCTTCCCCCTCCCCCCTTCCTTCCCTCACTTCCTCCTCCTCCTCCTTCTCCTTCCTGCTTCCTAGCGGCGACGTTCGCTCCTACCTCTTTCCTGCCCCTCTCTAACCCCTTCTCGCTCCCACATCACCCATTACGTGCTCTGTACGCTGAGCCTCCGCTTGCTGCTCTTCTTGCCCAGCTGCCGCCAATCACCTCCCCTCTTTCCCGGGTCCCCCTCCTCCTCGCCCCTCTTCCGCGCGGGGAGCAGGAGGAGGAGGACCAGTGGACACCGAAGACATATCAACGACGCTGCAATGAACCCTCCCTCCAAGTTTCCTCTTCGTGGGCCCCTACAGGCATTTATTTTCGCTCGGGGGAGTGGCCCATTAGAGGACAACCGTCTGAGAATCTTCAACCGTGGCAGAGCACAATTCCTGGGACTTCAACGCCGCGGATCAAGGAATCGGTTGCGCCCTGACAGTCCAAAACCGTGCCAGAACACCGCTACTGGGACTCAACACCGCGAATCAACGTGATTGTTGCTTCCAGGCAATCCTAAGCCGCGCGAGATAACATTTCTGGGACTCCAACATTGCGACTCCTTGAAACGGTTGCAGATTTGAGAGATTGTTGTGTGCGGCCCTAAAGCGAGAACCACATATTGAGAACGACCCGCATTCAGCCGTAATTTGTTTCGACGAATGTGCGCAGCGCTTGGGCGAGAGCCACATTTTGAAAACCTCCGCCCTCAATCGGTGAAACCGTAACAAACTGTTAAGACGAATTTGCGCGACGCTAGGCGAGAGCCACATTTTGGGAAACGCCCGCCCTCCAATTTGGGAAAGTGTTGCGGACTTCCAGTTTCAGGATCATGAGTGGTGAGGAAGTCTCAGGCGAAACGCCTGGCCAGTCCTACCGGCACGTCTGGGGGTGCCACAGGGAGAGCTCCTTTATTAAAAAAAGGATGAGGGAGGCAATCGAGGAGGAGGAGAAGGGGGAGAAAAAGGACGGGAGGAGGAGCTGCGGAGATAGAGCACGAGATGAACCGCCCGCAATCATGGGCGCAGACCCGCCGCATTGTTGAGCTCAATCATGTCTTAGCTTGCCAGGACTGTTCTTACACGTGCGCTTCCCAGCAGCAGTTGGCAATCCATGCCTACGCCGTGCATGGTGTCAGGCGCCGCACACGTGAACTTTTTCACGTGGTCCATTGCCCCGTGTGTACGCAGTGTTTCCACACCCACGTGAGAGTTATTACCCATCTCGAGGAGCGCTCGGAGATGTGCCGTGCTGTCGCCACGCAGGATTTACCACGATTGCCAGACACCGTCGCAGCGGGCCATGACGCGCGGGACGCGGAAGCCGCCAGGGGCAGTGCAGGGATGGGCCAGAGAACGCACCATGCGGACGCCCCTGCCTGTCGATCGGTTGGGCTTCTGACCAGGGAGGCTAGAGAAACTGGCTTGAGCCAAAAGCCCCCTCTCCACTTCTCTTCCTCCTTCGAGCGAAGCTGGAGCGAGGCGCCTCCAGCGGAGTGGCGCCTGCACTCGTGCACTGTCCGACGCCCTTTCCGTATTCCGGCGCACGGGCGCGCCCCAAGCCGCTACGGAACGGAAAGGAGGATGAGCAGGACAGAGCAGGGGAGCGATAGCGATTAGTTGTTGTAGGGCGTCGGCCGATCATGGATTGACCAGGCGCGCTGAGGTCTGCGAGGATGAATGAGGATGGAGGAGGGGAGGGGGCCAAGCTAGGTGCGCTCGCGTCATATATGACGTCCTACCCCTCCCTCCCCCCTTGCCATGGCGCAGATCTCCTCTCTGTTCGCACAGTCGGATGTCGGGCAGGGCAATGATCCCGAAAGGGTGCGCGATGCATCGTGGAACATGGCATAGCAGGGCGTTGCGAGCACGGCAGAGCGTAGTATGTCATAGCATGGCGTGGCGTTGCGTAGTTGAGGATTGTATCGCAAAGCGTTGCAAAATAAAGAAATCGCACAGCGGCATTGAACAGAACTTGGCATTTCATGGTGTTGGAGATCAAATCGTAGCATGGCGTAGCATGACGTGGCACTGCGAAGTCAAGCATTGCATATCCTAGAGTTGCAGCTGAAAGTCGATTCGATCGGCATACGTGCAACTTGCTCATTGCATCGCATGCTGTGGCATGGCGCTGGAAATAACGACGCCAGCGCTGCAACGGGAGCACGATTCGGAACGAGCGAAAACGCGGAAACGAGGCCAACGCTACAACGGGAGCGCGATTCGGAACGAACGGAAGCGCGGAAATGAAACCAGCGTTGCAGCGTGAACGCGGTTCGGAACGAGCGGAAGCCCGAAAATGAGGCCAGCGTTTCAGCAGGAGCGACATTACGAACAACAACCCAAGCGAAAACCCAATTCTTGGGAATCCTGTGTGTAAAATACAATGCGCGGAAGAGGGCCAAACGTCTTCCCGACGTTATCAGTGGAGAGAGGAGAGTAGTGGAGGAAAAAGAGGAGGGAAACGATGCGGTTGACGATAAGGATAATTTTGCGGCGTGATGCGTAAGAGAAGTAGGAGGGGGTGGGAACAGAGGAGGAATGAGGAGGGACGGGCGGATGAGAAGAGGGAGGAGGGGTGAGGAGATCCGAGCGGGGAGGATCAGAACCGAGGGGGAGGGCGGAGGGGGAGGGTGGAGGAGGATGGACAGGAGGACGGGGCCGTGATCACTGAGGCTCGAATGCTTCCAACCTCGTTCAGGTGCGCACGACGCGCATGCAGGCCGTCTCGGCACGCCGCTATCGTTCGAGCCTGGCGGCGCATGGCCGGCGCGCCACGCGGCGGGGTTGGCCTGCACCAGCCGCGGGTGCCAGCGCAAGACTGCACACTGCCGGTCATGCCACCTGCCACTGCACGCCAGGAGTATGTTGACATCTTCGGCCGATCGGCGGTCATCGTGCTCCCCTGTCTCGTGTCCAGTGTCTGCGAGGTGGGTTTCCCGTTGAGGGCTGATCTTGTTACAGTGCTCGATGTGTCTGAGGTTGCCGTGATGCGTGCGTCACTGGGGATGCGTGGGCGTCGTGTTCCGTGAGACAAAAAACGTCTACCTTTGCAGAGCACCTCTACACCAGCTTAATCCCAAACATTCCTGTGTAATCTGGGGACGGATGTTGGAGAAGGGCTGTGGACGCCGTGGGTGGGGTGGAGGTGGAGGTGCTCGTGACGTTCCCCCCCCCGACGTCGAGGACGGGAACAGTCTCAAGAGGCTTCCCACCCATGGCCCAGAACGGCCTGCACAGTCTTCATTCTTTTTTTCCAAACGGTGCTTGCAGTCAGGGGTTCTTGCTCGTCCTACTCGTC